TCATCAAACACTATGTCTCGTGAAATGATCACCTTTTTGGTCAGAGGATTGTAGAGTCTTTATGCTTTACTTCTAAGGTCGTAGCTAGTGAAAATGCATTTCTCCCCTTTGTCATCTAGCTTCTTTCTCCTTTGATCTGGAATGTGGGCATATGTTATGCAACCAAAAATTCTTAAATGACTTACTTCTGGTTTCTTGCCACTCCATGCTTCGTTTGGAGTTGTGAACTGCACGCTCTTTGTTGGACACCAATTTAGTAAATAGGCAGCACATTGAATAACTTCTGCCAAGAATGGTTTTGGCAGTTGTTTTTCATTGAGCATGCTTCTCGCCATATCAAGAATTGTGCGATTCTTTCTTTCTGCAATGCCATTTTGTTGTGGAGTGTAGGCAGCTGTTAATTGGTGAACTATTCCATGTTGTCTGCAAAATTCATCAAATAACTTGGAAGTATATTCACCTCCTCTATCAGTTCTGATCGTCTTCAGAATTTCACCGCTTTGCTTTTCTGCCATTGCTTTGAATTCTTTGAATTTATCAAGGGCTTCTGATTTTTCTTAGAGAAAATATACCCATGTTTTCTTGCTAAAATCATCAATAAAGGTGATATAATACCTATTAATTACAAGTGATTGAATGTCAAATGGGCCAGCAATATCTAATGAACTAGTTGTAATGGTCTCCTGGCTCTCCATGAATTGTCAACTTCAAAGCTTTGTCTGTGTTGCTTTCCTTTCATACAACTTTCACACAGCTGATCTGGTTGATCTATCTGTGGCAATCCACTCATCATCTTTGCTTTGGACAACAGTTTCAGGCTAGTAAACCCAAGATGACCAAATCTGAGATGCCACAACCACGAACTACTTTTTGTGATGGACTTCATGCACCTTATTCCTTCCGTCTGAATTTTCAGTTTGAAAAGGCGATTTCTTGTCATGTCAACTTTTGCAATTAACTCTCCTTTTTGATTTATTATGACAAGGGAGTTATTTTTCAAATGCATATCATACCCCTTCTCCAAAAGCTGGCCAATACTGAGGAGATTACATTTCAAAGATGGAATATAATAGACATCTGAGATATATGCCTTATCTCCATTCTTTGTAAAGATCATAATCTTTCCCTTGCCTTTGACTGGAACCTTTGAGAGATCTCCAGAAGTGACTTCTCCTTGAACTTCTTCATCCAGCTCCTTGAATAGCTCCTTTTTGCTACACATATGATTACTAGCTCCAGTATCAAGGTACCAGACGTCCTTGGTACTATCTTCATCGCCTTTATAAGTGAATAACATGGCAACCAATTCATCAGCTTTCTCTTCATTTGTTGTGTGATGACTTCTCTCCGCAATTTTAGCAGCATCTCTACATTCATAGCTGAGAGGACCATACCTATTACAATTATAACATTACAAGTGAGATTTATCACCTCTTTTTTGAAATCTTCCTCCTCCTCAGGCCACGAAACCACGTTCTCGGCCACGATTATAAACTCCTTGATCACGTCCATATGCTGCTGCATCAGTCTGAAATCTTCTATTTGTTTGGCCATATCCACCATGTCTGCCACGACTACCTCGAGTGTTGAATCCACCTCGTGAGTTGTAGCCTCCTCTATATCCACCACAATTTCCTCTGCCACATACTTGCTTGGTTTTCATCAAGAGACAACTTGCTTTGCATAGCTTGCTCCAAATTGCTAGAGCCCTCGTTCAAATTCATTCTTTGCTCATGAGCTTGGAGAGAGCCCACAAGCTCATCAATAGACATCACCGTCAAATCTTTAGATTCTTCGATGGCAGTGACAATATAATCAAACTTTCTTATTAAAGATCGAAGGACCTTCTCCGTGATTCTAACATCATCTAAGGCTTCTCCATTTCTTTTCATTTCCTTGGCCACTTTTTTCAACCGTGAGACATAGTATGTCACTGATTCTCCACTTTGCATCTTCAAATTTTCAAATTCAACTCTGAGTGACTGGAGCCGCACCTTTTTGGCTTTTTCAGCTGCTTGGCAGCATTTCTGCAAGATCTCCATGCTTCTTTGAATGACTTTGCATCTAAAATTTTTTCGAAGGTTGATTCATCAACACCTTGAAAAATTAAAAATAAAGCCTTCTTATCCTTCTTCCGTGTTTCTTTAAGTGTCCTTCTCTGTGCATCTGTCATGGCTATTTCAGCTACTGCATCTACAGGCTCCGAGTATCCGGCTTCAACGAGCTCCTAGACATCTTGTGAACCTAATTAAGAGCGTCTTCATGTGAGTGTTCCAGTTTTCATAATTTGACTTCGTCAATTTTAGAATTTGGGGTTGAATCATCTCCGCCATCTTTGATCGATCGTGGCTATGATACGACTTGTTGGAAATATATTAAGCCAAGTACCACAAAAGACAAAACAACTTTATTGTAAAATATTCTTTCAACTGATCAATATTTCTTTTGCAGACTCATCTTTTTGAAAAGATTCTCTTTCCTTAATAGTGTTAGGGCACTATTGCACACTTTCACACACTCTTTCCTTTTCTTTTTTATTCACTTATGCAATGCTATTTATATAGCTTCAGCACCGAATGCTTAACCGCTTCACCGTTCTCTCTCTTTTTTTTTTTATCCACCGCTTCTAACGACTCCATCTACTAACAAGGACAGCTTCTGACTTGACATCTTTTAAAACAAGGACAGCTATTTTTCTAGCTTTCTACCAACATGACATACAAGGACACCTAACCATATGGCTTGTGCATGGGTTACACATCACAACTTTGCTTTTTTCAAGTATTGTAGATCCTTCTAGCGGAGGTGGTAGAGTTTGTAGTTTCTAACAGTCCTTGTTGAACTGCTCGCTAGAACGAGCTACACCAATGAGAAAGACCCGAGATAGCAGTTAACAGGAAATGCTCGTTGAGTTGCTCGCGCTAGCAAGCAGATTAAGCAAGGAATGACAGATAGCACTCCTTTCGGGTAGTTGCTCGCCGGAGCAAGCATGTCCAACTACCAACATCAGAACGCAGATTTTGGAGTCTGCAGTTCTTCAACGTGTTCTGGTTCCAAAACCTTAACTTGCACCAGTTCTAACATGTCATCCTACATTTCTACTAGCTAAAAAAATCTGCACGCAACCTTTCTTAAGACAAATTACCCAACTTAATTTATGATTCACCCATTGCTTTTTTCGCATTCTCAAAATCATCAACAGCCCAATTATGCTTCTCATCTCTCAATCAACATGACCCAAATGTGAGAATTACACCCATGCATACACCAATCAAGACATGCAATCATTCTCAAGAAATGGTTTCTGAATTTAAACACAGCAAGAGAGGAAGTTTAATGACTTACCCGTTGAAGATTCAACTGCAATGGGGTCTTGTCTCTTGTTTCTTACTTGTAGCTTGACAGAAACCAAGTTTTGAGTTGGCCTTTGTCTTCCCTTCCCCGAAGAAATCAACAACAACCCAAGTTTCAACTGATTTTCCTCTTCAAAAACGCACATGCGAGGACTCATTGTGAGTTTAGAGGATTTTGGTTTGGTGTTGGGTGATCAGCCAAAGCGTAAATAAGGGAAATGGAAAGAGGAGCTATTTGGTTGAATGCTGAGGATGGTTCCACAGAGACTTGGGGTTGGAGAATGGAAAATTAGGAGGGACTTGATATAGAAGATGGTAGTGAGGACGTGGAAACAACCAAGGGAATTTTTTTTTGTTTTTCCTTTGTCTGAAAGTGAGACACGATGGGGAGGAAAAAAAAAGGTAGTGTGTTTTTGTGGGGAATGAGGGGAAAGTGATGGGGAGTTACAAAAGCCAAAATTATGTTATTATCTAATTTAATTAGTTTCTCTTTTTTTCTTCAAGAGTGGGTCTTACATTAATAATAAAAATCCCTTTTATATTTTCTGAGAAACAAATAATCTTGTTTTGGATTGAATTACCAATCAATTGTGTTGAGAAGAAGATTAATTTAAAAATTTTCCAAAAAAAAGGAAGATTTAAGATAAATGTTTAAAAGCATAATTGATTTATATGAGAATTCTCTAATTTAAAAAAAATATTAAATACAAATAACATTTTGGTCATCATTTATTTTAAATGAAGTTTATTAAACTCTTTTCAAATTCATCACATAATTAGAAAATGAGTTGATTTCTGATATTTAATATCACTTCAACTAATGAAATTCTTTTACAAATTTATAAATTGGCTTCTAAAATTGTTGAGTTTCGAGACACAGTCTAAACATTTTGTTCGGCATTTTTATAATTTATTTTAAATGAATGTCATAGCATAGAAGCTATCTTCTTCTCTCTTTTTTCGGAAACTGGAAAAGTTATCACTGTATATTAGCGAAATATCTCTTCTCCAACCTCCGTTATTCATGTTATACATATAAAGAGTAGACTGGATTAATCAAAAAAAGAAATTCAAGAAGGGTAACTCGACTTAAATACATATATATCACATTTACGAAACATAAAGGTAGTACAAAGCTACTCTTTACCTTAGATTCTTGAAAAAAGCTACATTTACATCTTGTACAATTTACGAATCCAATATATGCAAAATTTAGTGCGTCATTATTCTTTATTATTGTTGAGTTACGCTCAAATTTCTTTAAGGTAACTCTTAGAAGTCATAACAAGTTAATGCTCTGCAATTATGAACTGTATATATGTATACATATACACAACTAGTCAATTTTCTTATTTAATTTTATTTCTATATATGTTTCAGTAGCTAGAGCGAGAAATAAATGTAATGTATTTTAAAAAAAAAATAAAAATAAATAAATGTAATAAAATATAAATAAAATTGAGCAAGTAGAAAGAGAATAGGCATTCAGACAAAAACATAGACTACATTATTTGTTTATATTAGTCGTAACGTTTCTAATTTTCCTCCTTTTCCTTCAAATCCATACATGGATAATGTAACTCACAGGCTAATTTTATTTTATATAGCTTAATAACTCAACCATACACTCATACTCCACTATAAATCTCAATTTTCTAATAACTTCATGTTAGCATAGTTGTCCACGGGAACGGGTATCTTCCTTGCATTTATAGTCAAATGGATATCATTTGCTATTTTCTGCGCATCATCAGCAATGCCTTCTAATCCCCTTCTTGAAAATCCAGCGCAGTAGATGTCATTTTCTCCTTTCCAGTGATTTGGATAACTTGGTTTAGGCATTCCATTCTCATTGAACAGCTCTTTGTAATCCTGCACGAGAATTGACACAAACAGTAATTACTTTTGGACTTGATGGAACAAAAATAATTATGTTACTTATATATCATATATATATTATTATAATGCACCTTAAGCCACTTCAGCACGTTGGTTTTGTATCCGGTAGCAAAGATTATAAGATCAAATTGAGCACTTTGTCCATCCGCAAACTCAACCATCTTGCCTTCTTTGATGCTTGAAATAGATGCTGGAAAAACCTATATAAACGATGGTATTCAAATCAATAGCGCCCATTGTTAAGGAATAATTAATGAAGTAAATGGTGCTTGCAAATACAATAATATATATTCAAGTGTAAATTGTGTAATATACCTTGACTTTGCCTTTCTTAATCATTTTCACGCAACCCACATCAATGGTAGGCGTGCGACCACCTTTTACTTTCATAGTAAAGGGTCCATCCTTTGGTCTGATCAACCCGTACTTGGACATGTCTCCGTACACCAGTTTGCTCATAAGCACCATGAGCTTGTCCACCTTATCCACTTTCAAGTATTTCAGCAAATGCATTCCAATGTACACCATTTCTTTAGTAAAATAATGAACCTAGACGTATATAGCCACATAGATGTGTTAGATACAAAGATGGCCAACATACAAAAATGACAGTTTAAGTTATGAAATATTTTTTAAGTCTCTATTTTTCTGCAATTTACTTTTATAATTTAAGAGTTAAAATAAAGATAATGCTTCTAGAATGTACGAAGGATTTAACAAATCTAAAAATAATGTGCGGCACTTCCCTCTTAATTTACACTGACTTTGCCTTAGACATGATTTAATTACAATAAGTATTTAAACTATTATTTAATGTTTGACGTTGGAGAGTTATGATACAAATATATTTATTATTAAATAATATTAAATGTTTTAACTAAATTATGGTAGCTCAGTTAGGCGTTAGAGAACTGAGTAGGTGGGACACGATAGTTAAAATCGAGATTTTACGTAAAATCGAAAAGGAGATAAAAAAAACATAAAATATAAAATTGTAACGCAAAAAAATTGTAATCATAAAAACGTAAAAGAGTTTTGAATATTGTTAAAATTGTTTTAATGAAAAAAATCGTAAAATTATAATGATAAATCGAGATTTTAACTACAATGAGTGGGGGTGAGAGCAAAAATTTGATCCTTCACGATACCGTCTTTGGGAAGGATGTAAAGATTTAATCTTGGGACTCACCCCGAATGGGACTAGTGGCGAAGCGATAAACTGATCGATTGGAATATCTCCAAAAAATAAATTAAATGTTTAATAAATGACTTGCTAAAATTCTTTAATTTATTCACAATTATCAATAAAATAATAATTAAGGGAAAGGCTCTTCCTTGTTAAATATTATATCCTCAGGTTGATTTCAGCAAAATATCATTGTTCACGTTTGTTTAACTAATATTTTCACATTTTTTTATTAGGTCTCGGATCTACCTTATAGCAAGAATGTACGTAAAAGCTATAGAGAGAGCTAAATAACTTACAGCGCTTCTAATAAGGATGGAGGTATTTGCACCCCAATTTGAGAGATCATAAGCGATCTCCATGCCAGAATTTCCACAGCCAACAACAAGGGCATTTTTGCCATACCATTCTCTTCCATTGAGATATTTGTTGCAATGCATGTATTCTCCTTGAAAGGTTTCGAGACCATCTAGCTTGGGAATGTACCCTTCGCTATTCTCCCCGGTCGCAACCACTAGATAGTTTGCAACGTAAATCTCATCAAAATTTGATGATGTGTCCTTAACAATGAGCCTCCATTTCCCAATGTTGTGATCGAGAGAGGCAGACTCAACGTAACGGTTATAGTGGATGGAAATCTTAAAATGGGACACGTAATCATCTAAGTAACGTAAGAACTCAATCCTAGGGACAAAGGTGGGTAAATCAGAAGAGAAAGGCATATGAGGAAGGTTACAAAATTGTTTTCCCAAATGAAGTTTCAAGCGATCATAGGTTCTTTTCCTCCAAAGAGATGCATGACAATCATCTCTTTCTAAGACAAGGTTGGGGATGGAAAGGTTGTTAAGGCATGCAGAGGTTGCTAGGCCAGCAGGACCTGCACCCACAATCACAACAGGCACATCAATCACCATGGTTTTGTTTTAAGATTGGTAATGCACTCTCTTGGTTTTCTTTTGCTGCTTAGAGCAGCTCCTTTATAAGCACCACTATTGACAACATGGTTTTGTTGGCAAGGGTTCAATTAATTAATGAGTTGCCATACAGGGAGTGATAACCTTTTTTTAGTCTTTTTCTTTCTTTTCCTTTTCTCATGTTGAACACGTATCATCAGTCAAGCAAATTTCAGCAAAAGAAAAAAAAAATATTAATTTTTTCTGTTTTAATTTTGGTCAAAAAGTAGATTAGCAATATACAGTAAGGATAGCTATAAATGTTTATGGCCAAGAAAAGTTTTTTTTTTTTTTTTTGCATTTCTGTCAGCAACAAATTAAATTTTATATATGACTTTTAGTAGCTTAGTAACGGTTACCTTTTTCATTTCCCCCTTTTTTCAGCCTTTCCCAAATTTCTTTTTTGTAATAAAAAAACCGACATAGGTACGTTTTAAGGGGTTAGGTAATGATTTTTTAATCATTTATATTAGTAATAGGCTCAATTTTTTATTTATCTTTTGTGCTTTTATTTTTAATTCTATAAAAATTGGGAGTGCAGGAGGGATCGAACTCGTAATCTTATAGTCAACGAAGTTACGATGTCATATAAAGAATCAATTCAACTCAAAATCTTTAAGTGTTGGGTAAGGGCCTTTTTAATGATTTATATTATTCTCTAGCACATCATCTCACGTAAGAGCCCTTTCGGTTTGAAGTGTAGATATTGCACAGATTTAATTTTTTATTTAAGTTTTGAACTTTTATTTTTAATTTCATTGGAAAGGGGAAGACGGTGAAGATCAAACTCGTGACTTTGTAGCCATTGAAGTTTGATACTATGTAAATAACCACTTCAACTCAAAGTCATGTGGTATCAATATCATAAGATCACGAATTCAATACTCACCGCTCTAATTTCTAATGGAATTAGAAATAAAAGTATAAAGATAAATTTAAAATTTAAATCTGTGTAATATTTACGTTTCAAGTTCATAGAACTTTTACGTAAGAAAATGTGATAAAAAATAATATATTAAAAAAATATCCCCTAACATTTTAAAATTTTGAGTTGAATTGTTATTTACACATTAAATCAAACAATATAAGCGTTTAGGGACATTTTCTGTCATTTCTAACCACAGACTCGCAATGAATCGATCATATCCGTGCTGGCATAAAATCGGAGAATTTAATGACAGGTTTCGGGAACAGAGAATGATTTTGTCTGCGTCCCATTAATATACTCAACATCAACGTCTCTGTGTAAATGTCAATCTTCTGAGCGTTGGTACAAGATATTTTTTAAAATTTTCAAAAAATTAAAATTTTAAAATTTTCGAATATTACCGTAAATTGAATATAAAAATTATATTTCTTGAAAATTGAAATTTTCAAATAAAAAAAAATTTCCTATATCAAACACTCTCTTGATCTCAGTAACTGGTCTTGTATGTGTATGGATATATTAAAAAAATTATACTTACCAAAAAGGAAAATATGTATTATTTTAAAGATGTAAAGTTATGTCAAGTGAGAGAAAGAAATAAATTGTGAGAATAGAAAGTGAAAAAAAAAAATAGAAATAGAATCTGTTTACAAATTTTTTTTACAAATTACACTAAGTACGACCAGTCATACACTATATAATTAAAGTATAATCGGTTGTACTTAATGTAGTTTGTAAGAGTTTGTAAAAAAAAAAAAATTTATAAATATAACTTGTCCAAAAAACTAATATATATATATATATATATAAAGCTAACATGATGAAAATGCGTTACGCAGAATCCGTGTCAGGGTCGACACGAACCCATGAGTATATAAAGCTAACATGATGAAAATGCGTTACGCAGAATCCGTGTCAGGGTCGACACGAACCCATGAGAACAAGTTCTAGTAAATGAAGGGTTCGACAAACGTCCTAGCGGTGGCTTGAGGTCTGCATGCGAAACTGTCGCGCCATTTAGGGAGAGCGTCCCACCTAATATTTGATCCATTTTGCAAAAGAGACACGTTAGATTTGAAACTGGAGAAGGGTATTAATAAACGGAAAAGTGTGTATCGTATATTTATAACATTTTTATTTACTAATTATACTATATGGACATTATATGTTTAAATATTATGTATTATCGATATAATATAGTGTAGTTTGTAAGTATTTATAAATAAAAAATTTATAAATATAATTCTGTTCATCCTTTTAAAAGATGTAAAATTATTTTTTTCAAAGAGAGAAAGAGATAAACTAAAAGAGAGAGTGATATTTTTTATCTTTCTTTCTTCTTCTCTTTTAAAAGGATGGTGATTTAAAAAGATACACATTTTTCTATTAAAGAAAGCGATATATATTAGCTCAAAAAAGGTCAATATGTTGACATCATAGAACTTTGCTTTTTTTTTTTTTTTTTTAAGCTTACAAGGAATTGAAACTTTGCCTTTTTCTTACAAAAATGATTTCTTGATTTATTTTCGAAAGTAACGGTTCTAGGATTCATTGAAATCCACTCTGAAATACAGATAAGATCAACACTGTAAGGGCATGCTCGACTCGTGTCTTTCTTTCTTCGAAAGAAAAAAAAACATTATCAACTATTACGGTTAAGATATAATTATAGGCTTCAACACGTTTAGTGAATATAGATAAGTTATTTATATTTTCTTCTAAAACGATGTTATTTTGAGTTGAAAAATTAAAAAATTATAATGAAAAAAAGACTATTATAATCCTGAAATGAATTATAATTACAAAAATACCTTGATTTCCGCCTCAAAACGACGTCATTTTAAGTTCATGTAAATAAGTTATCTACATTGACCATAGAAAAAATGAATCTATAATTATAAGTTGTTATAAATAAAAATAAATTATAAGTATAATTTTTTTTATATTAAATGTTTTGTACCATAATTTAAAAAAAAGTCAAACCGTCATAATTAATAAAATCAATATTATATTCAAAGACTCATTCACTCCAAAAAAATCGGTGTTTAGCCACATTATTAAACGTGGCTAAATTGCTTAAACAATGTGGCTAATAAAAGCAACCACACTTTTTGTGAACGTGGCTAATCGTGGCGTAGCAATATTTTAGCCACGTTTATTGCTTTACTTGGCCACATTCTATTTGAGTGTGGTAGCATTAGTTTAGCTACGTTTATTGATTATATTTACCACGGTTTAAATGTGGCTATTTTAATGATTATTTTTTTAAAAAAAATTACAGCCACAATGTGGCTGAATTCACAGAATTAAAACAAATAAAAGGAATAAAATTTAGGGGAGAAAATAGATATAAATATCATTAAAGGTAATTTCAACAATGATTTGTTTTATCTCATGAAGTAATCTAACATTGATAAGACTTAGAATTTACAAACATTAAAGATTATTTTAACTAAAAATGAATCACTTAAAATTTACAACATATCCTTTTAATAGGACTAACCCTAGTCACCATTTAAGGTAGTATGAGCCTAGCCATTAATAACAAGACCATCAGAAAAGGCAATAGATTTTCCTGAATCCAAAAACTGCTCTAATGCCTGCATGTATCAAAACAAAAAAAATGAATATTAAGTGGAAAATTTGTAAAAGAGCACATTGCATTGCATTGCATTAAGTACCACAATGCTAAGTGGGACTGCAAAGACACCCACAACAGAAGATGATGTAAATGATCTCTACCACACATCTAAATGAGTTAATGGTAATGAGCATAACGTCTTTTTTGAGTAAAACATAGTATAATCAAAGCATGGAACTGAACAGTGCCACCATTTAAGGCAGTGATTAAAACCCCCTGACGATTTCTTCTTGTATATTCAGTAAAATGTTGATCGGCAATATTCAAGGAAGGTAAAATATATATTTTTATTTATAATTAATATTAACTAAAATCTGTGAATCTCTATTTCTTTTCTTGATAGATATAAATACTTACATTGGAGCCAAGAATACCAAGAACGAAATAACATTACCTCTGCATCAAAAAGAGAATATATTAATTCCTTAATTTTTTTAATACAAAATATAGAAGAGGTTAGAAATATTATATCAAGGGAAGAAGGACATATACATTGGTCGAAAATGAAACAGGGGCACATCATGTGGTGGTTGGAAACATCTTTGTGTGATGTGTCTAATATCGACAAGTTGAGTCACTTATTCATTTAATTTAAATTCAAATGCAATACCAAAGGATCCAGGAGACGAAGACATATATTTCATTGAGATTATCTTAAGCTAGTAAATACATGCTTGTTGGATGCTTCTTGGATGAAATTTTATAGTTGTTGATTTTTATTTTATTTTTGTGTATAAATGGCTGGTTTTGAGCTTGTTTCGACTTTCGATGAAATGATGAAAAGCGTAAGTAAAATATGGGAGACAAACAAAATACATGATTATTTAAATGAAAGATAGATTATAAATGAAAGATAGATTATAAATGAAAGATAGATTATATAGTTCAAATTGTAATTAGGTGTTAATCCATAATGCACAGGCTGCTTCTTTCTAGGACTTCTACGACTCTATTGTTGATAAAATTTCCAGACTCCTGACTAATTGGAAGGCTTCTTCCTTCACCCTAGATAATTATGTTACATAATTCTGGTTTGTTTATATTTTTCTTTACTCTTTTCCAAATTTCCTAGCAGTGAAGACTCAAAAGGATTGAAAAATAATAATATCCATTTGGTTTTTTCCCCACATTCAAAATGGATTGGTTTTTCATTCCTTTTACCTGCATACTTTTTCTGACTTTGTTCATGGCCATTCCTTTCTTTCCAGCATGCCTGGCTCCATTTGGTCTCAAGTGCTGCGCCAACTTCGGTTCTCCTAATATCCATCACAAATAAGCATAAAGCTTACATTAATAGGGCAATATGTAACACCTTTAAAATCATAAAAATGCAATTGTCAATCCAAAACAAATTTTATTTTTTCTCCAGACACAATGGCATGTCTCTCCCTCTCC